CACTTTAAAAAATACAAAAAAAATATTTCAAACAAAAACGCTTACTAAAATCTTTGGTTTTTGTTATATTTCCTCCAGATTGTTGCCATAAATTTGTATTTTCTGTAATACTTTTTATAGTTCTGAATGATCCTTTAATTTTCATTTCCTTTACATTTACATCATACCATGGGCAAGTGTGAGTGGATGAATTTGACTGAAGACCAAGGAGAATCATAAGCTTAAAGTCAGCGGCAAAAGTATAGGAACAAATTCCACATATGGACTGCAGATCTAACGTCTCAAAGAGGCTTTTAATGTTAGCATAAGATTCAGACAACTTCGGTCCTAAGCCAATTATGAATAGTTTATTAATTCCAACACTTTTATATTTCTTGAAATATTCGGGATCATTTTCAGGGAGCACATTCAGACAAACTTTAAGTGATCCACCACCACTATCAATGCCAATTTTTAGAAGAAAATCTTCAGATAATTCTCTTATTTCCAAAATATATGATAGAAGACCAGATAGATCTGAGCAGTATACAAAAATTAATATTAACTGAATTAATATTTTTCCTTTAAATTATATTCTAAAATGTTTAACTTGAATTCTAGTTCAGAATGCTACCAAAATAATCTTTTACGATGTATTTGTTGTTATAATAGTCCACGTATTTAAGATTTGTGTTGTATTTAGTTTTAGTTAAATTTAGCGATAAAACCACTTAGTTAGGAAAGAATTATAATTATTCTAACTTATTAGTTAACATTTTTATGCAAAATAAAACATATAGTTGTAATATGATTTTTTTGACAAATTATTGTTTCAGTTTTTGGTCTCAAAACAAAAAAAAAGTCACGGTACGTCACTGGATCTATGGATGTGATTTAGTTGTTCCATGATTTTGAAAGAACGCATTATGGTCATTAAAAAATTACTAATTTTAGAATTTATATATTTTTTATTTTGAATCATATAAAAACCGAACAGTGTACAGGGTTGTTCACCACATACGACACGGAGTATTGTAGCTAAACGATTAGATTTTTACAAACTGTAAGTTTTGGGTTCGTTGAAGGACTATTAGAGCTACAATTTAAAAATATTTTTACAAGATACAGAGTGTCCCAAATAAATAAAAAATATCAAAATTGTATTTTTTTAAATGGAACACCCTGTATATTATTACATTTTTAGTTTCGAATAAAATAAAGGTAAATTTGATTAAGGTTTATCACCCTTAAACCTTACAGTTTTTGAAATATTTTCAATTTTGTGAAATTGCAGTAACAATTTTAAGGTTTCATTTCTCCAAGGGTATCAAAGTTTTTAATACTAAATAGTTACTGAAGTTTAATTGTTGATCAGTTATAGAGTTGCAATAATAAAAATAATACTACTTCATACAGAGTGTCTAAAAATTTATTTTAAATAATTCCTAGCTTTAAACGGCAATAAATCGTTTAATTTAACTGGAACACACGATATATTTTACGAGAATCAGGTGCACAATTTAATTGTCCATCAAATTGTATTAAACCATTTTTTACCTATCCTTTCAAGTTTTCGTAGAAAATTCATTTTCTTATAAATTAGACCTCATTTATCAATATACCTATGAAATATTGACATTTTAGATTGTTTTTAAAGAAACAAATGTATAAAATGTACAAGTACTAAAAACGATAATATTACTAGCCTATTTGTATACAAAAATAAAATTATTTAAATCTTTATAAAAGAGTTAATTAAATATACCACCATTATTTCCGCACAAATATTAATCAATAACATATTTAATTTTGTTAGTTAATAAATTATTCTAAACAATTGTGGATTTGGAATCAGAAATTAATATAATAATAAGTTATGAAAATGAACGTCTCTGTTGTTATAAATAAGCATTCGTCAAAAAATGAAGTAAAATGTTTAAGGTGTTACTTTTTACCACACTGTCTAATACACATACACAATTGAGTTTTTTAGTATTTGGAGCAATTATTAATTAACGCAAACTAACCAAACCAAACAGTCAATTAATGTAGCTTGAATACTGGAATCATATTAATTGGTCCTCTTTTACAAATATTTAAATATTTTTTTATTTTTTAATGACATAACGAACTATATCGACAATATTAGTATCTGTACCCTTTAAAAATTTGTTACATCTTTAAAAATAATCTAAAACGTCTATATTCCATTGGTATATTGATAATTGAGGTCTAAATTATAAGAAAATGCATTTTCTACGAAAACTTGAAGACATGATAAAAAATGATATGATACAATTTGATAGACAATTAAATTATGCATCTGTTTCTCATAAAATATACAGGATGTTCCATTTAAATTAAAAAAGTTATTGCCGTTTAAAGATAGTTATTATTTAAAATAAATTTTTAGACACTCTGTATAAGGTAGTATAATTGTTATTATTGCAACACAAAATTTAGCAAATAGAAATACTTCAGTACAATATTTGGTTTTAAAAACTTAAATACGCCTAGAGAAATAAAGCATTAAAATTTAAAATTATTACTATATTTTGACAAAAACCTAAATATTTCAAAAACGGTATGATTAAAATGCGGGAAACCTTAATCAAATTTACCTTTATTTTAATCGTAGAAACTAAAAATGTAATAATATACAGGGTGCTCCATTTAAAAAAATACAACATTGATATTTTTTATTTATTTGGGACATTCTGTATCTTGTAAAAATATTTTTAAATTGTAGCTCTAATAGTCCTTCAACGAACCCAAAACTTACAATTTGCAAAAGTCTAATAGTTTAGCAACAATACTCCGCGTCGTATGTGGTGAACAACCCTGTATATGGGGAATGTTATCGATTTATCATTTTCATGTCGTCTTGACGGTTTTCTTCGATCATGTAATATATCTATCTAGAAAAAATGTTTAAATTGTTCCCAAATTAGATCTCAGAGTGCCAAGGTGTGAAAGATCACCATGTTAATTTTACAATGAGTTATATATAATTCTTAAAGTGTGACTTACAGGATGTCCTCGGACATCTAAATTCTGGAAACTCAAATTACCTACCACTTAATCCGTTAAGTTTGACATGAGATGGTATTTGCTTTTCTTGTCTTCAGATAGGAGTAATAACGAAACATATGGTAACAGTTCTTTAATTTATTATTAGAAGCAAAATAGTAGCTACTTTTTTGCTTCTAACAATAATAATATCATGCCATAGAAAAAACGCGTCAAAGACAACTGGGGAATTACAATCGATGATAATTTTGGTGAGATCAAGCCCTAGACGTCGTCTATTGGTCCGTACTCTTCTTTATTTTTTAATGGTATTTACAGCCTTTTTTCGCCTTAATATGGTTGTAACTTATTTTTATACGGAGTAAAATTGATTTTTAAATGGTGTTTGGTTTGGTGTTGGTTGTAAAATTCGAAAAAAAATCGAAACGTTCTATCCCTTTTTTCTTTCTATAATTAGTGTTAATTTGAAGTTTTATGCCAATTTTTAGTAATAACACCTAAATTGTATTCTGAAGATAAAAATGTAAGAGAAATTCTGGGAAATATAATTTGAATAATCTATTGGTGTAGAAAGCAGTTTATAAAAAGGTCTTATAGTCCTTAATACCTATGTTATGTCTTAACACTACACAATCAAAAATAATAATTGTAAATAAACAGGCCATGAAGTTACATTTCTCTTGTACCATTGTTTTAATTTTATAGTTGTTCCCTTCGAGCTAAGGTTGTTCCCAATCTTTACATGGTGTTAGAGTCATTTTCCAAAAATTTTACTGTTGCACAAGAACAAATAAATAAATAAAGCAACAAGAAAGGTTCTCGTGAACATGCTTGATAATATTTATGTATGATTAGCATGTACTCCGACTATTAACACTAACTAAATGAATCTAATTATATAGTCAGTAAAGAATGTATAAAAAAAGACTAGATTATTCTTTGAAAATATCTTGCCTAAAGGATTTACTAAATTATATCAGACCAAACGAAAATTTCCCGACCGCGATGGAATTAGAGATTGCATTACTGGTTTATCAATTTACTTATGTATCGGTTAAATATACCAAAAACGCGGTAAAATATTGGCGGTAAATCGTCTTCAAAGACCGGTAATTTCGGTAATCATTAAAAAAATACATACACACTAGTTTAGGAATCAGAAGCCAAATTTACCAAAAATATTAGAGGGCGAAGCCTTTATTTCAAATTTATATTACTATTGCAATAGATTTATTGCAATATTTATTCTATAAAGCTATTAAAATATTCATAATTTTTATTACTGTTTTGAAGAAATCCTTTAAAATATATTATTTATAGTTAAATTACGCCAAAAAATATGGTATAATCACAGGCATAATTTTTAATCGTAGTATTGGCAACCAGTTATAACAGAGATAAGAATCAGATAATGTTAGAACCATAAGTTAGAACAGTTCATAAAAAAATTGCTTTAAAATGTAGGATTGCTGACATCTGAGGTAACAAATCAGAGCACAACTTTTCAGTATGTATAAAAATCAATGTAAGAATAAAAGAATGTTTTCAAACGAAATAGGGACACTTCAATAAGTATATGTAAACTACAATTCTTATATACGTATGTACTTAAACAGAAAACTTTATGACTAATGGTAATATACTTAACAATTTATTAAAATTACAATATCTTCTAAGATTCTAATGCCTTGTGTTCTTTTGAATAAAATATAACAAATAAAAACGGCATTTCTGGGATCAAACTAAAGGACGGATTGAAAATGTAACCCTTATATTTGAAAAAAAAAACACTTCTTTTATGTGACTATTCGTGCTAAAAGTAAGCCACCCCTTCCTACAGGCCTGATTTAGTCCCCATACACTCACTCTTCCGGCTTTATTGGTTATTACAATACGGGAACTTCTGTAATTATCCACCAGGTTTGGGGCTTACAGCTGCCGTGGTTTCTATTGTTATTTTAATCTAATGGTGTTTTCTGTTGTTGTTCCAGATTCGTTAAGAAGCAGAGACGCAGAAGGCAGAATTGGAAATCCACTAATGGATGCGTTGGCTTGTACAAGAGGATACATCTGTGTAACGCGCAGGTATACTGACATGTTGGAAGGTTGTCATTATTCATTTTTCGAATATTGGGTTGACACACTGAAATTATTATTAGACAGGGTGTTAAAAATGGTGTTTCAAACTTCAGTGGGTAGATTTACAGAAAAAATAACAAAAAGAGTTTCTGTGAACATATGTCCCGCGGAAGTTACAGTCATCGAAAGGGTACATATACGAAAAATAATAATTGTAATATACCACATTCTATTTCGTATATACCTATATACGAAACTATTCTATACCACTGCCTATTTCGTCTAAAATGGTACTCTGGGTAGCTTTTATTTCTATTAATTTGTATATATCCAAAATAGTTAAATATGTTTGATGTTTGATTTCATACAAAAATAGCGAAGTATGCGGTGGTAATTTTCACAATTTGTGTTTATTTCCATGTTTAAAATAGTTATTCTCTTTTATACTTTTATAAGTTTTTATACCGTTATAGGGAAAATAAGAATTACGAAATAACGGTCGAATATTTTCCTAAAGAAGTCGACCGTAATTTCATTTTTTTCCCGAAAGTCCTAAAAATCAAATCGCCTTTCTATGGTAATGTAATGTTGTTTTCATTCTTTGATAGATGGTTATTATTATTTGTCATTTATATGAAAGTGTTAAAAAGGTACAATAGTATATTGTTTTATTGACAGTAAAAATGATACTTTTGTGGCAAGGCTGTATGTTTGACTTTACAGGCGAGGCACAAAAATTTATTTTTACTCTCGACACTTCATTCCTACTTTTATTTAAACGTTACAAATAAATTTTTAAACAATTTCAGCCTATCTGTCTGTTCCTCTGTCCTTTTGTCCTTCTGTCCGTCTGTCCTTCTGTTTTTCTCTCCGTCTGTATTGTTAGTAATTATTACAGTTAGTTAACAAGTACAGTCTATAATATCCAATTAATAAATAATTTGAAGCACTTTCACAAATTTTGTATTAAAATATTAATATATTTGATAAATACGTGGACTGCTCACAAATACACGTCGCATCACTACGTATTTCTAAGCCGTAACTGTCCTTACTACTTTTCGTCTCGCGCTTGTGTGTCACGGCCTAAAATTTTTACTCCCAGTGCGCGTAAAGAAGTTTCACTTCAAAAGTGATTTGTTTCAGTATTACGGAAAGTTTGATACTTTAACCCTTTATAGGGCAGTACTAATTATATTCTCGTTTGATCAAATTGAATTCAAAAATATTCATATAAACTAGCACAAAGGGTGCATATCTTCTTAATAACAATTTTCAAAAATTTAATAAATAAGAGAGTGAGGGGGGGTGGTGGTCGATTTTTCAACCAGAGACTGTTAAAGAAAATTCATCACAGAACTTCAATACGCTGATGACTGCGCTCTAGTTGCAAAAACTGTACAGCAATTACAAGAAATGTTGGAACATATACCTGGGCATACGAGGCTTTGGGCCTTAAGCTAAACATCGACAAAACTGAAATCATGTGCACTCCCCCGGAAGATCACAACAATGCTATAAAAATCGGAGAAGAACTACTGGAATGTGTAGCGGAATTCAATTATCTCGGCAGTTTGATTTCGGAAAAGGCCAATATCGACTCTGAAAGCACGAGGATTAGCAGCGCCTGATTAAGCCCCTTAGCACGAGGATTAAAAGGCCAATACCGACTCTGAAAGCAAGAGCATTCTGGATTTGGAAATGTAAAAACGGGATTAACCATTTTAGAACAAGCAAACTTTTTATAAAGAAAGCATTTTTCTAAAATGTTAATAACAAAAAAAATTTTTCCTCTTCTAAAGACGATATAGGGGCAGGATTGGAAAAAATCATAATTTTGTTTAAAAAAATTAAAAAAAATCAGATTTTTTTTATTTAAATCGGATTTTTTTTATTTAAATCAGATTTTTTTGATTTTAATTCAAAAAAATATTTAAATCGGATTTCCAAATGACTAGGATTTATTTCCAATTAAAGTCCTATCCTAAATGGCTAAATCTATAGTTCTATACCCCGATACCGACAACATTAACAAATCTACGGGGCGTGAGATTTTTCCACATCGGTAACCAATATATTCCGCAAAAAAGTCGTTCTCTGCAGATCAAAAGCATTTTTTTTTCAAAACATCTATAAAGTATTAATTTTGTCATTTTAACGGCTAGGCATAAAAGTAAATCACTGTTACGCCTAAGCATAAAAGTACAAAAATATATTATTAAACTGATATTAAGTGTCAAATTCAACGAGTGTACAAATTGTTTCTCGATTACTGTTTGTATTATTTGCATTGTTTGAAATTGATTAAAAAATTATTTGTAATGTTTTAAAAAAATAGTGTTTTATTCGGAGTAAAAATGTACTTTTTGTGCCTCCTTGTAACGTCGGAATAGCTTTACGATGGTCCTTCAAATGTACAGCATCGTCAAAAAAAGTATGATTTCTACTCTTTATAAAACAGTACAATATTGTTCGGAAAATGTCAAAGTGTAAAGTACTTACTGCAAATCAAAATGTCGGTAAGAATTTGGAAACATACAAACGTTTCAGAAAAAATATAAAGCAACATATTTTTTGACAACGATTATAGATTTTCGGGAATGTAGTTTTAATAACCCTGGATATAGTCTCTATATCAGACGAACCTAGTTCTGCACTAGTCTGCGAATGATATGTATTCGAACAGCGAATTTTTGTCACTTAGGGTACGTTTATGTTGGAGCTGCGATAAACGATAAAAGCAGTGAATTAGCGCTACTCTTATCGTTGCTCAACTGCCAACCGTGTCTCGACGCGTTGCTCCAATATAAACACCTAGATATAAATTAATATAATAATATTCTTTGCTTCGCTACTATCGCTGCTCTTATCGTTTATCGCCGCTCCGACATAAACGCACCCTTATACATAAATTTTAAAATAAAAAATCCCTGCGTTTAGCGATCTTATGGATTCACACGAAATTACTTCAAAAATTGGTTCAACATTTAAATTGATAAATAGATATTTTTATATGTCGATTTATTATCCGTTATAGAAATATTTTTTATAGTTTTCCAGGACAGATTTTTATAACTTTTACAGTTATTTTTTGATTTATTATAAAGTTTCAATAAAATTATTTTTTTGATTTAAATCATGCCAACCCTGTATAGGGGACATATTGTATATATAGATTGTCAAAAAAATGGCCAATTTTGACTATTTCGTTTGGCTTAGTAAATGTTATTATAACGTTTTTAGAAAATATTATGTAGTTTTGGAGTATCTAGAAATTTAACAACTTAAATGCTCTGGCGAGGGGTGTCTCACTTGGGTAAAAAATGTACATGTACTGCCAAAATATAATCTTTCTACCAAACGACTGCCAATCACAGCCAAGAAGACTGCCTATGACTGCCATGTAATTAGACAGTTAAAGCACGGCTATGGAGTGTAGAGGTAAGGAGAAACAACTCTTACGGGGCTTTTATCGAAAAAGTGGTCACAAAATGGGAAGAATAAAGGTTCACCAAATGACCACAGTGGCGCTAAAAACGCACAATTCTAAAAAATGAAAAGTAACCATAGATAAGAGAATAAAAATAACATAACCAAACATTAGAAGAAAAGTTCATGTTTTGGTTTTGTACTTGATACGCAAAAAGCTTTTTTTTCTTTTTCGAATACAAAAAAATTATATTTTAGGCATATTTTATTTTTTATTCATTATTAACAATGGGAAAAGTGTGTGTAGTGGATAGTTGTTTGAACAGATGGAAAAAAAGAGCAAATAAAACGACACAGGATATCTTCTTTCCAACCTAAGGTATGTAAAATACAGATAATTCAGTATTATATGTAAAATTTAGAATGAATCAAAAGTGTAGTAAAGGTTTTTCGTAAGATTATTGATATACGTATACAAAATTAATCTTTACAGCCAAATAAAATGTATTTTTAATGATTTTAAAGTTTGACAGACATTCAACAAATTGTTGGTTTTTTAAACAAGTAGGAAATACATTAAAATTGTACTTTCAAGAAATATATTTAACTAGAAAAATATTTAACTAAGTGCTTCATTCTTTTAATAATTTATCATTTTAATCAAAATCATCAGGATAATATTAAGTATTGATTTTCAGACAGCAATTAGATTACAGCAATGGTCTAAAGCATTAGGCATTGCTTTGAAACCTACCGATAAGGTGTGCCAAGAAGAGAATGTTAAAATTTATGAAAAAATTGTCATCGGAAATATTGTCCACTTAGAGTATTTAGATAGGAAAATATTGAAGGACAAAGCCCTACCTACAAGAGAATATCAGTTTAATTTAAATTCTGATGTGCAACAACAGGAACAATTAAATGAATATACACGTAAGTATTGTTATACACATAAAAGACTAATATTATACATATAAAGATCAACATTTTGTAGAGCAACAACAGAATAAAAGACCCAAATATGAATATCATCAACCAAAATGGGAACCGTTAAATGAATATTTTACACGTAAATATTATACATGTAAAGAATAATATTATACACATAAAGATCAACATTTTGTAGAGCAACAACAAAATAAAATGCCAAAATTTGAACATTACCAATCAAAACGGGAACCATTAAATGCATATTAAACACGTAAATATTATTATACACATAAAGATCAATATTTTAAAAAATTACAATACGTGGGATGTAAGCTATATTGCAAAGAATTTACAAAAATAATTATTAAAAGTAGTTAATGTTACGATAGTTAACCATCCAACTACCAAACATATTCTGAATGCATGGAAACTACCAACTTGAGAGGAAGCTGAGAGAACGACTCTATTGGGTGAACTACAAAAGGAAGACATGAGGATCTGGAAGGACCATAAAATTATATTATTTCACGTTCCAAGCTATGTTGGAATAGCTGGGAGTAAAAAAGCTGATAATATTGCACATGATTCTTGTCTAGAACTAGTTGATGTTATGGTAGTTAAGCCATCGGACTATCAAACATTAAAAA